TCTGTGTTCTGTTATGCAGGACGTACAGTCTAGACAACAGAAGTGGCACTGAGGATTAGAATAAATATGAAGGGGTGAAGTCACCTGAGCCTTCACACACACACCCCTCTACCCCCTTTCAGATTGGATTTGGCAGGAATTTATCAGACATTTCACTCCAGATCTATCTAGACATCTCTGAACCATTACAGTGAATAGCTGACCTTAATTCAAAAAGTGGTGTGAAATAATAAAGGACTAAAATGAAACAGTTCCAGTTATTCCAGAGGATAACAGACTTACTGACTCCTAAGAGCTTGGATGAGCTCAGCCCACAGCAGTGAAGTTTATTTACTGTATAATATTATTTTAGAAATTCTTTCTTTGCTAGTTCAATCAAAATGAACTGCATTTCCTAATACCATATATCCTGAGAGATAGTGCCACATGCTCTATCCAAACATAGGCTTAAACTAACCCACCCTGGCAGCAATTACCTTCAAGGCTTTTGAAGCTCTTGGGAGATATTGCCCTTCTCTGTTCCAGCGAAGCAGAAAACCATCTTGTATTCAGCAGAAAAAAAATAAAAATAAAAAAATCTGTTTCCATATTCACTTAAAATATTTTAAGCACTAACCTTCCTCCCCTAAAAAATTAACTTAAATCTTCTGTGTAGGGCTTATATGAAGGAAGAAGGCTTGCTAAAGCAATAGTGTTCATTATTGTTACTAATAACCAACTACTTTTGAAGCACTGATTAAGGACTGAGCACTGACTGTTTAAACACAGTCATGTGGCTTTTCTGGTCATTTTCTGAGTTCAGTTCCTACAACTCATTGAGCTTCACTATAACCAAAGAAAATTGAAGGTGATTTACATAGGTACCTGTAGCAAATTAACTGTAAATTCACAGGCACCAGTTGTCACCTGGGAAGTTCCTGTCTCCCACTGCCTGACAACAAAGCACTGAATTAGGAAAATTCCTCTATGAAAATCGTATTTTTATTACCAAGAGCCACTGAGATTCATTAAAATTAGTAAGGTGCCTGTTTAAAACAGATAATACAAAGTACTCCTTTACACAGCAGATAGTGAAGTGAAATTTTCTGCCTGTCTGTAGTGCAGTTTTAGCAGGTTCAAAAAGGATTCCACAATTTCATGGTCTTTAAACAGGTACCCTTAAAGACAATAGGAATGGATGCACCCTCTAATATACAAACAACAATACGACAAATAGCAACTCCAACAATTTCCAATCTTTGCTGGGAACAAAGCACTGAGCTAGGTGCCTTGTTGCTCTGTTTCAGTTGGGAATTTCTTATGTTTTAGTGAAACATGTTTTACAGTCAGAACTAGGGACTGAGCACCACAGCAGATATATAAAATGTGTGGAACCTGTCCATTATACTTGTATAGTATTTAAGCTAGAAATTAAATACAGTGCCATCCTGTAGTGTATCTGATTGATAGCTTAAAAGTATTTGACACAGCTCGAATTCTGCATTTTGAAAATCTGGGTAGCTGCTAATGGTCATAAATATAATATTAACCTAAGGTGACCAGATAATGCAATCTCAAGCAACTATTATTTACTCAGCATTCTAGGAGCAAAAAAAAAAAATAAAAATGGGAGGCCTCACTGCTTTTATCTGCTTTTGAGGCCATGAGTTTGTAAGGTGAATACAAATATAAAATGGTAAAATGATGATGCAAAAATGTGCTTTCAGGGCTACAGGAAGTTCTAGGTCCCTAAATAAGAATGTCCTGCTTTAGCTTTAGAAGACTGGAAACTTCATAGAGTGAAGTAGTGACCACAGAGGGAACTGAAACATATTATCATGTTTTGGACTCTTCTCTTTAATGACCTCTGAATCTTTCCTGTAAAGAAATATCCAAGCCACAATGTCTGTATTTAGAATTGCACTGCCTTGAAGCTGAGACTATTCTCAATCTAGGGTTTCAGTTTGAACGCATCTGTAATTTTTATTTCCCTAAGCTTTGCATAAACACCTTTTTTTTTTCCCAATTCCATTTTTATTCTTTCTATGATATAGATGGGATCTTTCTTCTCAGTCTCCTGCCTAAAATTTGGTGAAAGAGGTCATTAAGCCAGCTGCTATATAAAGTCAATATAAAGTCTGTGAACTTGCTAGATTACATCTTTTACTTTTTGACTGCTGGGAAGGTTGTCAGAGTCTTTTGTAAAGACTTGCTCACTAGCTCACTTCACCTCCTTTGAGATACGGTATTTTGAAAGAGCCTCATCTTCCACTAACCTATAGAATCCATAACTTTGGTTATGCTTCAGGGTAAACAGAGATTAGCAAAAGTGTTAGTTCTTTCTAAATTTGATACTTTTCACAAATAAAATATCAGAATAAATAAAGTGATAAAAAGAAACAAAAGAACATGATTCTACAGCATTAACACAGCCATGAAGGTTGAAACATTGCTTTATTGCTAAAGGATAATTATATCCCATGATCTGTTGGGCATAGTCATACTTGTCATTGTATACATCATTACTCACTTTCTGATCACCCTTTCTAATCCAGACTAGGTCAGTATTATCCTGTGGTCAGTCATTAACATGGGTGATGAGTACAGTGAAAAATTAGGTGGCAACTTTAAGGCTATTCCTTAGTAGAGTTTGAAATAGTCTGAAGAAGTGGCAGTTGCATGTAAGACAGTTGTGTTTCTCTTTTCTGAGTCCAAACCTCTGATTAATTACAGAGCCAAGAGCAGTCAGGCATGCCTTTAAAAGGGGTGATTGGAGAGACTAGTGTCACTCCACTGATAGAAACAACTCTGCTCTTCAGGTTCTCTTCTTTGTGGACAGTTTTTTCTCTGACAAACTCTTTGGGTGAAAACTACCTTACAGTTGGAAGCAGTAGATAAAGACAGGATTGAAAAATGACACCATCCTCCTAATGACTGCAAGTAGAATACCCCTGTACCCAGAGAAGTTCTAAATGGTGTTAACACTACCATTAACTGCTGAAATAATTTTTCTAAGAAAAGCTGTCATTGCCTGCACAGCTGTTAGCATTCACATTGCAAGCACTATTCACATCCCTATAATCATGGACTTTTGCATTTCAGGGAAGAAAAGCTCAAGTTCTTCTGGACCCACAGGTTCCAGGAGATGGAGCCGTGAAAGAAATGCCAAGTATCTTAAGATTCACAACAAAATCAGAACTGGCATGGGTGCAAGTCATAGCCTATAATCAGGGATAAAAACAGTGGAAGTGTTTCTTAAACTCAATGTGAGCATTAAGATAATCCAGTTATCCCACCTGGCTTCCCTCTTGAATATTTATGACAACTCTACCTCTCCTGAGTATAACAGAAAGTAAAATGAAGCCAAGGACCTCAAAATAGCATTCTCCATCAAGCTATGTGGGTAGGCTGTCCCAGATATCTCCCTACAAATATGATGAAAATAAACAAGATAATGTGTCCTCCACTCGCTTGTGTTCAACTGGCAAAGAAACAGGGGTTGTGGCAGTACCACAAGCTTCACTGAGCCAATGGCATGGTACAAACAAAAGAAATTTTCCTTTTCTGATTTTTTTTTTTTTTTAAAACTCTTCAGGTTTTGGATTTTCATCCTGAGTCAAAAGGCCAGGACTCATGATCATGTGCTGGCTTTGAGAAGGTATTTTTTGGTAATACAAGACACAGTTAAGTATGTTAGTCATTTACACGTCAGTTTGGAGTTTTGAGAGCTCTGCTCTTGAACAGCAACACTAACAGTGTTTCTGACCAGATGCTGCCAGCAGGAGATAGGCTAATTCCCTGGTTTGTTTGTATATTACGGGTACATGTGCCTGGGACTGACCTCCTGGGTCATGGAGTCCAGACCCCTGCTATCACAGGAAACTGTCACTGAAAGGTAATACATCAGCTAGGAGCTGATGTCTCGTTTGTTCTTCTTGCTGTGAATCCTCTTGTGGTTGGTCCTTCCCATTTTCTCCTGGGAGGTAAGACCTTATACTTCAGCTGCTTTTGTTCCCAGGGTTAGCTAATGATCCTTTTCAAAAATCACAGTATGACAAACATTATTAGCATCCTCCTGGAATTCAAAAAAGCATATTTATTTTTCAGTTTACATTAAGAAACTGAGACACTGTGTGTTTTGGGTTCAGCTGTGGACTGCATACAGTGCTGTGGTAGACTACAGGAACTACAGAAAACTTCCAGTTTCCTCAGAGGGAACTGCTCTGGCACAGCAAATATCAAAAGCAGCTCAGACTTTTCCAAGAAATGCAGGATGAGACCCATTATCTGGGATGTAAGGGAGTAAGGCTGAAGGCTTTAGGATCTTACCTAAATGTACTACTTTGGGAGGTTATTCTGAGCTTCATTCAGTAGGACTTCTTGCACCCTTGGACCAGCTCAGGAGGAGAACAACTCAGCGTGTCTTAAGTCTCCCTTGACTTCTGGGGTTGGTATCCCAACTATGAAAAAGGCAATGCTAGGTCTTCCTCAGAGTTCAACAGTTGCTTAAATGTTGCAAAGTGAGATGGGAGCACAAGTAAAATTAAAAGTTGCAAGTTCCTGTCTCCTAGTCTGCATTCAATCAATGAAACCACATGTTCTTTCTGCTCAGGCATCCAGCTTGGAAGACGTGGCCCTCAATGGCCTGAGGTTTGACTGCTCCAGCTTTGTTAGTTTGGTGGGGTTTTTTTTATCCCTTCAGCCTTTACTATCAACCTCAGACAAAGTCATTCAGTGCAAGTATAGGAAAGAAGACTGGTGTCACAGTGGGGAACTTAATTTAATGAAAGTACTTGCAGAAATTCTTTTACTTACTGAAAGCATATAAATGGACAGTGTGATTTACAAGTTTGTAAGGAAACAAGTACACAGCTTCCCCTGATGCTATGGTTAAGACAGCTTGGAAACTATTGTGCTGTGCGACAGAACAGCACAAACACACACTGCCGAAAGCCACAGCAACTATTCAAATCCATTTTTGTTTTAAGTACCAACTATTAAAGTGATCATGCTGGTTTTACCTTGTTCTCTCTGACAGTGCATGACAAAAGTCCTTTTAAATGCTGATAAGTTGCAAGTCTGCCTTTTCTGAATTGCAGAGGAAATTTGTCTTTGTAGTTTCTGAATAGCACTGCAAAACTAAAAAAAAAAAAAAAAAAGTAATCGCTGAACACGCTGTCAGCTATGCACAGTAGAAAGCAAATATAAACCTGGAATACGGAGACCCACATCAATTAAAGAAACTAGACTTTATGGCATCCGAGTTTTAATGTAGATAGGGTAGAACTCATGGAAGTTATTTTACTTCAGATACAAAAAATATACCTCGTTTTGATAATGCCAGGATATTCCACATAGGCAGATTACCCCAATCTCTTGATTCAAATAACATAGACAATTTATGCCAAAATTAAATAGTCTTTGTGTCTTTCACCACTTGCACCTCTATTGAGGACTGAATAAGCCATCTTAGTCTTCAACCTGAGACAAAAAAATTACAATTGCTAACTAAAAATATCACTTCTTAGTCTGTTCCTGGAGTGCTCTTGATTCAAATATTATGATTTTCTAAAATATATTATTTGGAATTATACTATAAAATATTCTGCAAATTACGAGATGGCTTATTATTGAAAGTGTCATTATTTGCAGTTGGTCACATTAGCTATATGGAGAACTTCTGTTTTCACGTTCAGTGCTCATAGTTCCTATGATTGTTTTTCTGTTCATAGAAAGATATGTTGGATGAACTCAACACAGTGGTTTACAATTCACCTTTTAAAGTTTTCTTAAAACTCATGCAAATGTGTCCAAAGGCCAAGAAAAAAAGAATGCAAGCGCATATCTTCAGTTTTCAGGAATATTTGCTTCTAGGGCCAAATTCTCTACTTGTGAACCCACCCAATTTTTTTGTGCTTTTCTGGCAGAGAACACATTGTACAATATTTTGACATTTCAAATCAAAGTTTGACTAAGGGATTACAGGGGCATTTTAAGAAATGAGTAAAAAAGGAGTTGTATAATTCTTATAATCTTTAAAGGTTTGGTTCTAAACACATCTAAGATTTTTTGAGAAATATGTATTTTTCAAAAATGATGCCACAATCTGGTAATGAAATTTGAGAATGTGAATGTTCTTCCTTAAAAAATAATACTAAGCAAAAAACCATTATTACCTTCTTTTCCAAGTTGTATCTTAATATGGTAGAATAGTATCTAGTCCTGTATGCTTTCCCAACAAAATTAATGTTGATTTTGTTAGGAGAGTATAAAACAGACATTACTGTGAACAATAGCTATTTAATTGCTTAATTTTAAATATTCAAGTTCTATAATACTTCTCATTTATTTTATATTTTTGAGGGGGAGATAGGTTTATTTTGAATTAGGCTGCAAGACTATGTGCTTTAATGCAAGAGAAGTCATGATTAAAATTGGTAAAAGTGGTCTATAATGAAAGCATAATTTTGAGAAACTAGTATAAATTCATAGCTATAGATTTCTTTCCCATGTATGAAGCTTCATGGCTCTGATTTTATTCTACTGCCTTTGAAGTCAATGGAAAATTTCCCACTAGTTTCAGCTGGCTCTTTGTTTTATTTTCAGAAGAACTTTTTAAAGTTTCCCATTTCCAAGTTCCCATGATTTAACCTTGGGTGTGATTTTTGAAAGAATTTTTATGCACATGAATAGACAGAGTTACTGAAGTTAGCAAGTCTGGGGAGCTGGATCCAACATCACCACTTACAGTGCTATGTTCTGTTAACTGCATGGAATGCCAATCACATCACCATATTTCTCCATCCCACTTTATAATTCAACGTATACAGCTCTGCAGCTTATGCAGTAGTTATATTGCTAACAATTGCAGCTTACTAGAAAAACACTGTTAATACTTTGTGGAATGGCAAAGACATAAAACTGAAAGAAAGTAGTTTTCAGTACATTAGAAAAGAAAGCAAAAAGGCAATTTTCTCCAAGTTTCTTGGGACTGTTCTGAATGACATTAAGTGTAATAGGCATGAGAGCAATATTTTGAAGAAAGTATCTGAAACTTTGTTTTACACAAAGTCAGTTGATTCAGGCATGCAATTATGGCTGCACCAAGAGATTTTTTAAAAACTTGAGTAACAAACAAGAAAATGGGCTCCATCAGTTTCATAGGACGTCTAAATGTCTAATTCACTTTTCAAAATGAAAATATATCCCAAAGTTTCATCTGGTGGCACAATGTACCATCATGCAGTGTGCAAAATCTAGCAACCATGGTTTGATTTAATTTGAAGTAAAGATAAAATCACCGCTGCATGTTACAACTTCCCTAATGATCACCAGCCAAAACTTATTCCAGGCATTGAGCCTTTTTACTTTTATTTTCACATTCTTCTACAAAATCAGTGATATTATATTGTTGTCAATTAATTTTTCTAAAGTGCTTTTTCTTCTTCATCTTCTTCTCCCTATTGCTCCCTTATCCCCATCTTAAAAAAGGTATCATTTGTACCAGTGAAATGCCAAGGAAGAAGCCAACCAGAGCCATGCACTGGATACTTTTTCTTCTATTCTGTAAAAGTAAACTAAGTTCACATACACATCCATGTATTTCCACCATGTCTTTCTCTCTTCTGGGCATTTTTTTCTACATTCTTTCTCCCTCATCTCCCCACTTCCCAAGGCGAAGCTAAATCTACCCCTAGAAGGGTGGACTGGCTTCTGACTGCTGTTCTCTCCCTCCTGTGACTTGCATGAATTAAATGGTATCCATATTTTTAAAAGACTATATTTTGCTGGAAACAGAATACTTCTTTGATTCCTAATCATTCAAACAGGATTCCTAAGGGGTCTTTTTTTCTCCCTCTTAAATAACAAAGTAATTGAGTCTCCAGAAGCATCAACTAAATTCCCCCTAGTTTTGTGAACTGAACTTTTTTTTTCCTTTAGTGTGATAATATTTTTCCAGAGTGGCATCAATGAAAAGAACATAGAAAATAGATCTGTTTTTCTTGCAAGAGGTCTTTCATGCTAAATAAATGGATTTAAGGATGTCCAAGCTCTGCCCATAGGAGATAATAAGAGCATTTAACACTTACAGTAAATATACTTTTTTGCTAAATGACTTTTCATACCTCAACTGTAGTAGAAACATTAAGTAATGAAACTCAACTCCAATAGAAAACCAGCAAATGGATAATTAAGAAAACAATGAACATTAGAAAACCTATAAAAACCTAGATGGGCAGCTAGGCCAGTTCATTACGCTCAGTGTAACTTGATTTCAGCTGTAACTGTAATAACATCCACCAGACATGCCCACTGCTGAGGGCTGAATGTGCAAAAAAATGTCTTGTCTTACTGATTTTAGTAAAACACTTGTTTCAAAAGCTTCTTCTTAATTAAATGTCTGTATTTGGTTATGCTAGGTACTAAAGAAGGAGTACTGGATACCCAAGAAGTAAGCACTACATAACTGAATATAATTACTTATAACATGTTAAACAAAGAAATTATTAAAATTACTATTCAACATTGGTAAGCAATAATTTAGTGGGGAATGACTGCAGAAGTGAGTTCAGGAATCAGGAATAAAAAAGTGGTCAAAGACTCAAAAAAATATAGGAAAAAGCACCTCATGAAACATTTCCTATGATTAAAATATCTGCAAGTGTACTTCCCATATAACTGGGGCCAATGCAAAAATATGTAAAACAGAGAAAATGGATTGTACATCAATGAGGCCTCTAACCAAAATAGACAAATTCTGGATATAAACAACAGATTTGTGAGAAGAGTCCTGGATTACCCAGTGTGTTATTACCTCCAGGGATTCAAAGAGATTAAATAAATTTTGATTGCACGGTATTTGTTTCAAGACTTGATGGTCTCCTATGAGAGATATCTGCCCACTTGCCTTAATGGATAACTTACGGTTTGAGACATTTTCTCAACTGGCCTCTGGACAACACTTGCAAAGGATAGAGGGAGTGGCTGCACCTTGCCCTTTCCCCTGGCACTGTTCACCTGTGTTCCTAACAACAGTACAGTCTCTCAAATGGACACTTGGTATAGCTGAAAAAATATTGAGTAAAATCAACTGTGAGGTTTGAGTTTAAAAGAAAACATTTTCTCACTCCCAGTTGGTTTTTGAGAGAGAACATTATTGGTTATCCTACCAGGTGTGCATGGAGTTCCACTTCCTAAGCTCATATGAGGGCTCACATGCAGAGTCTCCTTGAATAAATTCACAAGTAAGAGGTTGCTCTTACTTGTTATTCCTACTGCCAGAATTTTTTTTTTTCTTTTCATCTTAAACTGGGCTTTAAAACGTATTTTCTGGTCTGTAGCATACGACAGTAGACAAAAGCAAATGATGTGAATGACTGCAAAGCTCCTACCAATGTTTTTCTATTAATACTAAGGATACTGGTGAAGAATCAGTATTCTCCTCACATCTCTGCTTAACATACCAGGCATACAATGCTGCCACAAAGGGTTTGCAAATCCCAGGTTCTCAGATGATCTATGCTTAGATCATCTCTGCTCTACAATAACGCCTGCTCTGTTGCTTTAAGGTAGCTCTGGTACTTGCAAAATTTAGAGGCACTTCAGATTGCTCTAAACCCTTCTGGTTGGTAGCAGCTTCTGCATAGCCATTTGCCATCTGAGAGCAATTCTAAGCAGATGCCTCTGGTAAACGGTTGGCTCTGACCCATCTGACCCCCAGGGTAACCCATTTTTATAGCCAGGTTAGCGACGGATTGTCAACTGGGAATAAACAGCACTACTTATTCTTCTACTTTGTTTTGCCAGAGCAAAGCTGGATTGCAGGACAAGTTTCAAACATTTCTCTATAAGCAATGTATGCATCATAAATTATGAGCTGCTCAAAAAAAGCTGCATAGGCATCTAGAAATTAATCCTGATTACCATGCAGAGTATTTCCCCATAGACAATGAAGACAGAGATTTCTTTTTCCCCATGTTTTTTTTTTCCCATAGAAACAGGTGATGGGACTAGTGATGAGTATCTGGGCTCTAGTTCATGTGAATCCCTTAGGAAGGATGATGAGCTACTTACAGGTTTTTTCTAGCCCATAAATCTTGCTGAGATCTACTCCCTCCTCTTGGCCACTGAGACACTTC